ACAGCCCTGTTAGGAGGGCTCCCTGGGCACCCAATTGAACAGATGAGGAAAACAAGGCTCAGAGAGGCTGAGTGTGTTGCCCAGAGCTGCGCAGCCAGGGAGCAGCAGAGACGAACCCTGACTCCTGTCCCGTGCCTGTCTCCCAGACTCGTCGCCTGCCTCAGGGGGTGCACGCTGACTGTCTGAGGGAAGGGAATGAAGTGGCTGCAAATTGAGCTCAGTGTATGGGGAGGTGACAAGTGGTGTATACAGCTGGAGCTCAATAAATGCTTGCTTCAAGGCGGAAGTGGCAGTAGACTTTCTCAGGCGAGTTGAGGGAGAATGATCCCGGAAGGAGTGGGGCTTTGTGGGGAGCCCGCCTCCACCCCTGCGTGGATTTCCTCGAGAGGCTCCTAGGGGCTCCTGCTGTCCAGGCTGGGGGGCTTCTGGGGGCCCTGAGCTCCCTGGCTCCTGGGTGCAGTGCGTACATAACCATGCTGTCGATTTCGGAGTTCACAGAAACCCAGCTTTGGTCTGGAGGGGCCCCAGGCAGCGCTCAGGCACTCGCCCCAGGTGCAGAAATTAAGGGAGTGCCAAAAACTCAGTCATCGGGATCAGTCACATTTTAATGCAAGTTAAGAAAACCCAAAACCGGTGGATGGATCTTGACAACTTTATGCTAAGTGAAAGGAGCTGACCACTGAAGACCGGGTATTGTGTGACTGCTTTTATAGGAAGTATTCAGAAGTGGCAAATCCATGGAGACGGGGAGTGGATGAGTGGTTGCCAGGGGCTGGGGGAGGAGGAGTTGGGGGCGATAGCTAAAGGGCGGCCATAGCTTAAAGGTCAAAATTTTAAATAAAGACAAGACCATATTCCTGATATTTTCCTTCTGCCTCAGGCTCCAGTACCACTTGGCACAGCCCCATTGTTTTATCCTGTTTAAAAATCTCATGGTTTTTTGGCATTCATTTAAAAATATTGCACTAAAACGTTCTTGATCTTGATGACTGAGTTTTGGGGCACCCCCTTACTTTTTTTTTGCTGAGGAAGATTGGCCCTGTGCAAACGTCTGTTGCCGGTCTTCCTCTTTTTTGCTTGAGGACGATGGCCCCTGAGCTGACATCTGTACCAATCCTCCTCTACTTTGTATGTGGGACGCTGCCTCAGCATGGCCTGATGAGCAGTGTGTAGGTCTGCACCCGGGATCCAAACTGATGAACCCCGGGCCGCCGAAGCAGAGTGTGTGAACTTAACCACTGCACCATCAGGCCGGCCCCAAACCACTGTGTCTTTATATGACCTTTCTTGCTGTGGCTAACTCTCCTCGTCACTACATGCAAATGACAGTGGCCCCAGGACCCGCCCTGGATCTTATTTATCCTTTTAATAAAGGAGCACATAGATTACTGTACTGTGGCATTTTTCATAGTTGTGTTCTCAGCCAGATTTTACTATAATTGGTGTCCTTTTAATCCTCTATTTTATTCCATTTAAAAACACTTCTCAGAAGGGATCTGTAGACTTCACCAGCCAGTGAAGGGGTCCATGGCACACAGAGGCTCGAAGAGCCGAGTGGACTGGATTCTCAAGTCCTGCTGCGCTGGACCGCGGTCACTGGGCACCTGCTTCCCGGCCGCCTTCCTCCTCCGTTCCCTTCTCCCTCACGGCTGTCAGCGATGGTGCTGGCACTGCTCTCCGGTGGCGTCTGTGTGTCTGTCCGTGGTCTTGGCACTGGGTGGCCAGACACAGCCCTGCAGAGGCTCCCGCAGCCACCCGCACGGCCCCCGTCCTGGGTTCCGTCCCCCTCTGTGTGGCTTGTCTGCCTCTCCTGTATCTGTTGCTCAGCCACTCCTTACGGGCAGGCCTGTGCCCCCTAAGAAGTCATAGTACTAATCGTGGCTGATGTCACTGAGCTCATGCTCTGAGCCAGCTCACGACAGCCAGGCCGGTAGGTGCTGTTTGCTTATTCGGAAGATGAGGCGAGCGAGGCCCAGAAGGGAGAAGTCACCCGCTCAAGGTCACACAGCAGACAAGTGGCCAAGCCCAGAGGGCACCTGGGCCTGTCCAGCTTCGGGGGTGCACTCTGGGCCTGCAGCCTCTGTGGCCATTGCCGTCCCCGTGCCTGGCCTGGGCGGGCCCCATCGCTCCTCGTCCAGTGCTGGGTTCAGGGCCCTCGGCAGCGTTTCATAGAGTGGGGGGGCGTGTGTGGTAAAATGCAGCTCCCTGGGCCCCATCCCAGAACTGCCAGGTCAGAGTATTTGGGGGCGGGACCCGGGGATCCGCCTATTAACAATTTCCGGTGATTTTGCTATCCAGGGAAGAAATCACTGTGATGGAGTCACAGGCTCTGTGCTGAGGGCGCTCTGTCCGTGCGTGCGTGTCATCCTCACAGCTGCTCTTAGCATCCCCATTTCACAGATGAGGAAACTGAGGCACAGAGAAATTAGGGGACGCCCCCCGCTCCAGGGCTGCATTGCTGGTAGTCACCAGAACCCAGACTCAAAGCCAGGTGTGTGGGCTCCAACTCCAGTGCTCTTCCGCCCACCTCTGGCTGCTCGTCAGCAGAGAAATGCAGACAAGGGTGTGTGTGTGTGTGTGTGTGGTGGGTGCAGGAAGCCCCGGCCCCCACAAGGTCACCCTGGCCTTTTCCGCTTTGCGTTGTTTACCAGGCACGGGCCCTGTGCGTTCCTGAACAGGAAGCACAGAGCAGGGGCCGTGCCAGGCGCTGGGGGCAAGGCTGTGGGACGGGAGCCAGGAGTCCAAGCTGTCACTGCCCTGAGCACCCGCGTGACCTCAGACAGAGAGCTTCCCCATCTGTGTATTGCGCAGGGTAGGCATTTGGCTTCTGGTTCTGGCCTCAGATAGACCTGCTTCCAGTTCAGGCTCAGTCGGTCACTGTCGGCTGTGTGACCTCGGGCTGAGCACTTCACCTCTCTGAGCCTCAGCTTCCCCCTCTGTGAAATGGGGCCAATAATAGTGCCCACCGCCCAGGGTTGTTGTTGGAGGCAAAATGCATATAAAGCGCCAGCACACAAGTCTCTCTGGTTAAGTCTTTACTTGGGGACAGACCATTTGCCAGATGATTCCGTGTGCGTGCGTGTCCTTCTTTTTTCAAAAAATCAACTCTTTGTTTTCCCGAGTTGTATGTTTTCTTTCACCCACCAAAGGCTGGCGGCCTGAGTCCTCCCACCAGCCTTCCTGAGATGGGGCCCAGAACCAAAACACACACTGCTTCCCCCACAGCTCGCTGCATTTGCGTTTCCAGGGCTTGTCCAGGTCCCCGGGGTCGTGTGCAGCCAAGATTGTCTTCCGTTGTCTAGACCAGGGGGCTGGCAAACCCGGGCGGTGGGACAGAGGTAGCCTGGCGCCTGCTTTCGTGCATACTCTTTATTGGAACGCAGCCACACGCATTTATTGATGTGCTGCTCTCCTGCCACAAAAGCATGTTGGCTCCGCGCCAGGCCTGATGGACATTATGTGGTTCCTCACCGCTCTTGGCTCCGGCTGTTGTTTCCATTTCTCAGATGTGAACACTGAGGTCCTGAGAACGACGCCCCCCATTGACCCAGGACGCCCAGCCACTGAGCGGGGTAGCCAGGATGTGACCTCCAGCCTCATCACCTCCCACCCCAGCTTGTGCCTAACAGAGTGCGGAACTGGGCCTCGGAGAGGCAGATGGAACAGGGTAGCTGGCCCTGCTTTGGTGGTTTTAGGTAAAAAGTGCCAAGCAAGTCAGCAAAGAGAGATCCTGGATCTAGGAGCAGGGTTTTTCTCCTGATGCCCCTGCTTACCAGCTGTGTGGCCTGGAGCAGGTGACCCCAGCTCTCTGAGCCCCACTGAATGGGGTGGTTTCATAAAGGAGGGTCAGATGGGGTAATGGGGGGTTGGTGAGGACAAAATTTGATGCTGTGTGTGACACCCCTTAGCTCAGTGCCTGGCATACACACCAGCCTGCCTTCTCTTCTGCCCTCTGGAACCGTTCTGCATGCTTTTAAGTTGAGGCAGTGTCCAGAGCCCCGGCATTGTTATTTCTCTCATTATTTTCTTCCTCTCGCGGGGTTAGAATCTGGCACGTCTTCTTGCCTGGCTTCCCTCCGGAGTGGGTGAAGGTCTCTGATCCCCAGGGGCCCCACCCGAGAGAAGTGTGGTCTCCCCTGTCTGCACCCCAACTCCGCACGGGAGGGTTGCAGCGTGGGGTGGTGGGGTCAGGAGGCCTAGGGGGGGAGGTGGTCCCCATGGCGACGGAATGTTTGGGGGCTTGTTCCCACAGGGAGGGTCGAAGGCTGATGGTGGAGCTGGGGCACACGGGCAGCGGCACCTCCAAGGCCACCCTGTAGGTGCAGTGGCAGCCCCCTTGTGGGCGGCGCCTGCCCCAGCCCCCTCTCACCCCCGTGGGCATGTCCTCATCCCCCACTGGAATGCCAGCTCCAAGAGGGCAGGGGCCTCCGTCCGCTCCCTCCCCGTGTCCCCGCACCCTGATCCGTGCCACGCACTTAGTCGGCGCTCCATCAGCTTTTGTGGGAGGACTGCATCCCCATCCTTCCGCTGCTCATTCAGGGCAGCCCCTGGGGCCGGGGAAAGAGACATTTGGAAACTGGCTTTTCCTCTTACCCGTGTGGGGCTTTGGTGAATCACTTCAAACCAGAGCTTCGATCTTCTCACCCACCAACTGAGGATAAAAATCCCCACCGCGAAAGGTTCCGTGGAGGATGAAATTAGAAAATGAAAGCCAGCATGTAAATCGCCCTCGCTGGGTGCCAGCGCTGTTCTACTGTGTTCGGACTTATTGACACCTCCCCACACTCCTCTGGGGCTCCTTCCTCGTTTGCCCCGGCCACATCTCACGTGAGCCTCCTGAAGGGTATTATCATCAGCCCCGTTTTACAGATGAGGAGACTGAGGCTCAGAGAGGTTGAGTCACGTGCCAAGGTCACACAGCTAGGAACTGGTGGAACCGGGATTTGAGCCCAAGCCATCTGGCCCCTACTAGGCCTGGCACATAATTCAAAAAGTACTAGTCATTTTATTATTTTATTATATAGAAAGACAATATAACAACACCATAAGAGGAGGTTTTTAGCAGAAAAGTATTATCACCTACTCCCCGAACACCGTCCCTGGTGGCATTTTGAATTTCTTTCTTTTTTGTTTTTTTCTTATCTGCGGTTTGTGTTTGCTGGTTGGTTAGCGGATTTCGTGGTTTTCTTTTTGGCATAGTCCTGCGCACCTGGCACCCACATGGGCCTTTGTCATTTGGAACTTGGAGCACCAGGGTGCCCCCGCCCAGCCCCACCCAGCCATTGGGCTGTTGGGAGGATAAACCGAGGTAGGGCATGGAAAGCCCTTGGTCTGGGCTTAAATATACAGTGGCGCTTAATACATGCTGATGTTCCTCCTACGAGAAAAGGAGGGCTCATTGACCCCTCCCCATGCAGCTCATTTGTCCATCCAATAGGACTTTGTGCAAATGATGGAATGTTCTAGAACAGGGGTGCACAACTTTTTCTATAAATGTCCAGATAGTAAATATTTCAGGTTTTGTAGAGCATGTACACTTTTTGCTGTGGCCTCTTCTCCCTTAAAAACGTAAAATCCCCTCTCAGCTCAAAGACCATACAACAAAAGGCCAAAGGGTAGATAGGGCCTGAGGGCCGCAGTTTGCTGACCCCCCTCCTAGGTCTGCAGTGTCCAGGACGGTAGCCACTGGCCATCACGTGGCTCCTGGGCACTTGGGATGTGGCCAGTGCAAACGAGGAGCTGAATTTTCAGTTGAACTGTGCCTCATTTCAGTTGACCTCCCTGTGGCTGGTGCCCACGTTGCATGCACGGCTCTCGGTGACGGCGGGCTCTGCCGTGGGTGGGAGCTGCCCAGCTGGCGGGCCTCTCCAGCTCTCTGGCATTTCAAGGGCCGCCGGAGGGCGGCTGGGCCAGAGCCATCTCGCCTCCAGAAGAGCTTCAAGGGCCCTGCGTCCCTGACCGTTTGTATTTGTTCCAAGAGGCGGGACTCCGAGGTTGGCCACCTGGGCCCCGGGAGTGCCGGGCCTGTGTGCTGCCGCTCGGGGGCGGGGCAGCCGGCTGGTTGCTGTGGTTACACCTGGGTACCCTTCCCCATCCCGGCTCAGGTGTGTCCATCGGGCGGTGTTTCAGGGTCAGAGAAAAACTGTATAGAAGTGAGGAGCGATAACGAGGAAGGGAGGGCGGGCAAAGCAAGGCAGGAGCAGCCTTCCCCCGGTTGATTTCCAACAGGGCACAAAGAAAATCATAGCTGAGATTTTGGGGTGCTTGCTCTTATCTCGTTCCAAGCTCCCCACAGCCCATTTTGCAGAATGGGAAAACTGAGGCTCAAGGGAGCAGCAGTCTCTGTCGTCAGGGAGGCATCCGACCCCAGAGCTGCATTCTTACCCGCCCCCCCTGGAATGGCACGGACAGGAGGGCAGTGAGCCTCAGATCCAGTGTGTGAGTCTGCAAAGTGATTTCCCCTTGTGGGCCTTGATTGTCCCATCTGTAAAATGGGGGAAGGTGAGAATGGGACTAAAAATCCTCCCCACCCTGGAAGGTAAGGACACAGCGGTGAAGTGCCCCCACCAGGATCCTCTTGGTTCCACATTACCGGGGCCCGGCTTCACGCCAGACCCAGTCATGTTCGTGGCCTCCCTCTTTTAACACAGTGGCTGAGAGCTGGGCATCCAAGTCACGTAGATCTCGATGGAGAGCCTGGTTCCGGCAGCTCCTGGCCACGTGCTCTTCCTCTTGGTGTCGTCTTCTCATCTGTAAACTTGGGGTCATCATACTTTTCTCTTAGGGGGCCTAAATGACACAAGGCACTCACATCGTGGGCCTTTGGACAGTGTTAGGTGGTGGTGGCAGGGCGCTGTCTAACTCCGGGGGCACCGTGTTTATTGTATGCCAAGTACCTGGTGCCCTTTGGAGTTGGGCAGTGCACAGCCTTTCCAACCGTACCCAGCAGTCCCAGACGGTAATCAGTGGAATAGTGGTGGTGGTTCTTGCTTATCGTTATATTTACTTTTCCTGAAATCCAAGGTCCCTGGGCTGAGAGGAAGGGAGAAGCCTGGGGGGCAGAGACCCAGGGGCTCCCTAAGGCAGCAGTGGCTCAGCTCAGATTCTCAGCTCATACCTCTCTGTCTGCGAAGGGAGCAGTTCACTCCCTGTAGGACCAGGCACTTTCAGACCCCAGCGGTGACATCTGGGGCTGAGGTGGCCTCCCCCTGCACTGCAGCTCGCCCCCCAGAGGACTTTCCCCTCAAATCACTGTCAGGGGCCCTTGGGGAGCCCAATGTCCCCTGTGCCTCTCTGAGGTGGCCTGGCCCCACTCTGGCACCCGTCCCAAAGCAGCACCTCCTCTGCTCTGCAGGGGTCAGCGGTGGACGGCCTCGGGGAGCCAAGGGGCCACGCGGGCTGGAGCCTGGGGTGAGAGTGCCCGGGGGAGGTGAGTGCATCCGAACCCCTCCCGTGGCCGGCTCACTCCTCTGTTGGAAATCAGGGGCTAGAAGATGCTGGATTGCAGGAGCACAGAGCGGAGCGGGCAGGTGCTGCATGTCCTTGTGTCAGGAGGGTGATTCTCCTGGTGACAGGACGCTGACGGCGGAGTCCCTGAGCCGGCAGGTCTCACCCAGCGTCCCTGAGCAGATGCCGGCACAGCCAGAATCCAGACCCCCTTGCGTCCCACGTTCCCGTGCTCGCGTTTTTGGTCGGCCCGCGGGGCACCTTCACACACAAGTGCCCTCAACCTCGTAACAGCTCCCTGAGAAAAAGGTATTATTGTCCCATTTTGGGGGAGGAGAAAACAGAAGCTCAGACGGGGGAAGTTCCTCGTCCAGGTCACCAGCTGGCAAGTGGCAGAGGCGGGATTGGAACATGAGGCTTAGGACTCCAGATCTGAGGGTCTTCCCCACCATCCTCACTGCCGGATGCCAGGACCCCTCCCCTGTCAGGGTCCAGCGGGGCGGGGGGACGGAAGGCAGGCTCAGGTCCCTGGGCTGGGTCTGGAGTGGGCTCCCTGGCTCCGTGTGCCCAGTGAGCTGCCTCTGCCTGGCGGTTGCCAGCGGCTCTCTCTCTGCCACGTCGCCGTTCTTTCTCCTCTCAAGCCATCCTCTGGCTCTTTGCTGTCTTCTGCACATGTCTGACCTGCCCACTTTGAGCTGTTTCCTTTGAGCTGCTGGGCCTCTCACTCGGTTCTGTCCGAGGACAGTGAACAGCTCAGCCTCAGCCTGGTCCCATCCACACCTGCCACTCTGGCTGTGCGACCTTGGGCAAGTTGCTTCTTCTCTCTGAGCCGCTGGGGGCCGGGCTTCCCAGAGGTCACGGGGAGGATCCTGTTAGATGATGCACGGAAAATACTTAGTGGAGCCAGCACTCAATAAAGGTAAAACACAAAACTTAGGCGCTGTGTTGAAAAGTGCTGTAGCCAAATGGTCAGCAATAAGCAAAACTGGTGTGTTGATAACATTTTTCTTATTTTGCTGATCCCTTCTTCTAGGCCTTCTCTGCTGGTATTTAGTATCCAGATCACTTCCGACCCCAAACATGAGCTCAAGAGTGCGTGCACATTTTGCCTATCCTTTCTGGAAACAACTTTCCAAAATTATCCCCTTTTCTCCGTTTCTCCACATCCTGCAACACCATCTGTCCCCCAAAAGCTCTAGTCTCTTGCTCCCCGCTGTGTCAGGAAGAAAGGGTGACTGCCCTAATTTAAGCTAAAGTGTGATTGACAGTCTGCCAGGGGCATTGACCTGAAATCATAATACCTGGAAGCATTCTGGTCGCAGGTCTAAGGGGAGAGTTTTAATGAGTACTTGAGGAAGCTGAGGGGTCCTTGGAGGGATTTCTGAGTGATTTTAGGTCCTGTCCAGCCTGCCTCCCCCATTGAAAGTAGCCCTGGAATGAGACTTTCTCATCCCAGACCCTGAATTCAGGGCACCTCGGAACCCCCAACGTGGTCAGCGACATCCGATAGGTGCAGGTTTCTGGGCTACTTTCCAGTGCTCAGAGAGGCCCGTGACTCGAGGGCGAGACTCATCTTTGCTTTGTTAGGCGCTTCTAGAACCCGCACGGCAGGCTTTGAGGTCATCGGACCCACCCTCTCTGCAGCTGAGGAAACTGTGGCTTAGCTTGAGGAAGTGACTCTCCCAAAGCCACATGGCCAGGAAATGGCAGGGCCCCTCGGCAGTTCTGACCCCAGGCCTAAGCCTCTTCCCTCGCCTTTGATGTGCATTTTCCACTGGCTGCGGCCAGGAGCCTGGGGCCCCCAGGCCTGGGAGGCCGATCGGCCCAGCTGCAAACTGGGTCCCGTGGTGTTTCGGGCTGAGCCTCACATCTAAGCAGAATCGTCACCCCGCTCCCTTCCTCCAGACCTGGCACCATTCACCAAGCCACTTGCAGCGCCCCCCCGTCCCCTCCCCCGTTCTGCCAGCTTCTTTCTTGCCTGTGACTTTCCACTGGCTGTTCCCTCGGCTAGGAACAGCCTTCTCTGTTGTCTCCACCTGGCCGTCCAAAACTCCACCTGGCCACTGTTCAGAACTCAGCACTCGGGCTGCCTCCCTCACCTGCCCTCACCCGCTTGGCTGGAAGCCATCACCCCCTCCCAGGTGTGGGTCCACAGTGGGAGTGGCCTTGGGGGGTGAGGCTGTGTCTCTTAGCTCCATAGCCCAATTCCCGGCACATAGTAGGTACTCATTAAATGTTGGAATATAAATAAATGACCAGTGATCACGGTGGAAACCACTAATGTTCTTTCTCATGCCTCCTGTGTGCCAGGGGTGTTCTTACGGGGGTCTTTTACTGTTCCTGGTGGCCCTTTGAGGGTGGTATTCTTAGACCCATTTTACGGATGTGGGCTCAGAGAAGTGGAGTCTGTTGCCCGAGCTCACACAGCCACACAGGAAGTGGCAGAGCTGGGATTCGAACCCAGGCCTGCCTGAGTCCTCGAGTGCCCAGAGATTTCAGGTCCTCACTTCGATTCTGCAAAGAGGTGGGAGGGGACACGAAGGGTCAGAAGCACAGCAGGGGCGAGGCAGAGAAGGGCCGGGGTGGCCGGAGGCTGGCTGAGTGTCCGCCCAGTGTCTGAGTCTGCATCTTCTGTATTAGCCCCCGGTTGCAAAATTGAGGGGGCTTGAGGGTAAACTGGGGAGGGGGTGGATCTGTCATTTGAGGTGACTGGAGGAGGGGGTGGCTCAGCTGGGTGGGGGTGGGCCCTCCCTGAAGAATTGCCACTGAAGTCCGATCGTTTGGGAGGGGTGAGGAGCATGGGCCCAGGGTCATAGTTCATGTCTTCAGTCATCCTGCCCCCTCCCGCCTCACCCTGTCTCTCCCCCTCCCTCCCCTCCGGCCCCCGAAGCCCCCTCTCGGGTTCTGGAACACCCCACACCCTCTCCCATCTTGGGGTCTTTGCACTCTCTGTTCCCTCTGCCTGGAGCACCCTTCCCATACCTCTTCACAAATCCCGCTCAGATCCAGGTCTCAGCTTAGATGTCACCTCCTCCGAGAGGCCCTCTGACTGCCCTCCTCGTCTCCTGCTTGATCCCCTTGTGGAGTCCTGCTCGTTCCTTTGCCAGCTCTTATTCCTGTCTGGCCGTAGCTTGTGTACCATCCGCTTCCACTTCCCCTTCTGGGACGTAAGCTTCTGAGGCCAGAGGCCTGGCTGTCCTCCACTCTCCTGTCCCCAGCCCTGAGCATGTGCCTGGCACCTTTTAATCTTTCCTAAGCACTTACCGAATGAAGCCTGAATGAGCGACAGGGATTCTGGAAGAAACCCAGAGCAGGCCGTTCTGTGCCTTCTTCTGGGAGTGTGTCCTGCAGGGGCAGAGCGCGGGCCTTCAGAGCGCACTCACCGGAGCCCCTGGCCTGCGCCTGAGTCTCAGATCCCAGCCCGGCTGCTTCCCAGCTGGGCGAGTGCGACCCACCTCTCCATGCCTCGGCTTCCTCCTCTCTACAGTAATCATTTCAGGGCCCCTACTCTGTGCCAGGCCCTGCTCATCCAACCAGGGCACATTCCAGAAATGTTTATCGAGCAGCTGGAGATGCCAGCGCTGTGCTCAGGGCCGGGGAGACAGCCGAGAACAAAACAGGCGAAAGCTCAGTCCTTGCACAGCATGTGCTGCTGAAGTCTGACTTCTGGTGCGTTCCTGGTTTCTGTATTTGCATAGTCAATTTTAAGATAATTATTCCTCCTCCTTTTAGCAGATAAGGAAACTGAGGCATTGGCGGTTAAGGAACTGGGCGAGGTCCCACAGCTAGGAAGTGGTGACAAGGAATTGGAACCCAGGCCATCGGCCCCTTGGGGCATGACAGCACGGCCCCCTGGGGTTGCTGGAGGATGTCATGAGTTAGGATAGGTGAAGGGCCCAGCTGAGGCCTGACACCTGACGCTGGTCGTGACATGTGCCCTGCCATGAAGGTCGGCACGCTCCCATCTGCTGCCACTGGGGTCTGTATGGTGCGTGACCACGTGTGTCCCTGTCTCTCTCTCCAGATGTGAGCCCCGCGGGCCTCCCGCTGACCTGTCGCTGACACAGGCGCGTCCCCCGAGGCCCAGCATGCGCCTGTCTATGCGGAGGGCGCTGCTGGCGGCCGGCTGCACCCTGGCCCTGGTGCTGGCCGTCCAGCTGGGGCAGCAGGTGCTGGAGTGCCGCGCGGTGCTGGAGGGGCCGCGGAGCCCCCGGCGGGCCATGCGGCCGGAGCAGGAGGACCTGGTGATGGTGGGCGCGGACCACGTGGAGTACCGCTACGGCAAGGCCATGCCGCTCATCTTCGTGGGCGGCGTGCCCCGCAGCGGCACCACGCTGATGCGCGCCATGCTCGACGCCCACCCCGAGGTGCGCTGCGGCGAGGAGACGCGCATCATCCCGCGCGTGCTGGCCATGCGCCAGGCCTGGTCCAAGTCGGGGCGGGAGAAGCTGCGGCTGGACGAGGCGGGCGTGACGGACGAGGTGCTGGACGCCGCCATGCAGGCCTTCATCCTGGAGGTGATCGCCAAGCACGGCGAGCCGGCCCGCGTGCTCTGCAACAAGGACCCCTTCACGCTCAAGTCCTCCGTCTACCTGTCGCGCCTGTTCCCCAACTCCAAGTTCCTGCTGATGGTGCGCGACGGCCGCGCCTCCGTGCACTCCATGATCACGCGCAAGGTCACCATCGCCGGCTTCGACCTCAGCAGCTACCGCGACTGCCTCACCAAGTGGAACAAGGCCATCGAGGTGATGTACGCGCAGTGCATGGAGGTGGGCAAGGACAAGTGTCTGCCCGTGTACTACGAACAGCTGGTGCTGCACCCCCGGCGCTCCCTCAAGCTCATCCTCGACTTCCTCGGCATCGCCTGGAGCGACGCCGTCCTGCACCACGAGGACCTCATCGGCAAGCCCGGTGGCGTCTCCCTGTCCAAGTGAGTGGAGCCCCCTAGGCTCCGCCCCAACCCCCGGTCCTGGACTCAGAGGCACTGGGTGGGAAGATCGGTTCTGCCTCTCCGAGCTGTGCGGCCTTGGGCAAGTCATTGTGCCTCGCTGAACCTCAGCTTCCTTATCCAAAAGGTGGGGCAGTCACTCCTCTCTTTTCTGAGAGAATCAGCAAACTTTGAGTGTCTTTGTCGTAAGGCTGTAGTGGGTAAGGGTTAAGGACGCAGATTCTGGAACCAGGCTGTCTGGGTTCAAATTCCAGCTCCACCGCTTGCTAGCTGTGTGACCTGACGCAAGTGATTCAACCTCTCTGTGCCTCTGTTTCCTCCTCTATAACGTGGAGCTACACCATGGGTATCTGTCTGCCTTATGGATACCTGTGAGCATCAGATAGGGTAACACACATTAGGGGCTACTGTTGGTGTTATTATTGTTATTTGATTGTTGATATTACTTGTCTTGGAATACCCATCGTCCTCACCATCATCACGATTTAATGAGTGCCTGCTGTGTGGCAAGCCCTTAAACAAACATTATTCCTTTAATCCCCACAGCAACCTGGGGACATAGTGACTGCTCTTATCCCCATTTTACAGATGAATAAACTCAGTCTCAGAGAGAGCAAGTTACTGGCCTAAGGCCACACAGCTAGCAAAATGTGTCAGGATTTGAACCAGGTCTGTTGGACTCCAGGGCGTGTGTGCTCTTCAACTCCCCACAGCCAGGGCCCCTCGTCCCTCCCTCTTTCTGTCCCTTGCTCTCTGCCTTCCTCCTTTGGGGAGGCCGTTCCTCTCCCAAGAGCAAGTGCACTCTCCCTGCTGTAGGGTCACAGTGTGCTGTGTCCCTGTCTCCGTCCTGATGAGGCCCAAGCGTCCCCAAGAGCCCAGTGAAAGGGCGGTCCTTTCCCGGGCAACGCCTCCCCTTTTGCTTCATGGCTGATCTCCCCCAGGCTCCATCCCCAAGAACTCTGGAGTCCTGAGCAGAGCTGGGGACTTTGGCGGCTCCCCCGATGGCAGGGACATGCCCACGTGCCAGTTGCCCCAGCCGGGTGGTGCTGGAGCCGGGCTTTTGTCAATTATGACGACATCAGATGCCCAGGGGAATACATCTTTATTGTAGGAAAGTGGGACAGTATCCTTGGGACAGGAAAACAGCCCATAATCCCACCACCCAGATTTAACTATGTGACCAGCTTGTCCTTTGTCAGGGCATGTTGATAAAACCATACTTCACTTCATGCGTGGGACCGCTTGCCAGTGGCCCCCAGCCCTCTGTTGCAGCATCATGTTGGGTGGCTGCATGATATTCCCCTCCACAGACTGTCATATTCTATTTAACATCCCCTATTTTTGGACACTTTGGTTATTTCTAGCTGTATGGACTCATATCAAGCATTGTCTTCCTTTTGCTACATCTGTTTGTCTCTGATCTTCTTCCCCAAGTTACCTGTCGGTGGATGGAAGCATCTAGAAATAGGCTCTCAGTGCTGGGAGCTCCCAGCCTTCCATCCTGCAAGGCCCCTGAACTGTCACTAGTGAGATCTTTGTGATTCCGATGGCTTGGTGAGCCTGTTACAGGGGAGCAGAAGGAAGCACATAGAGGATGATGGTTGTTCCATCGTAAGAGCATAACCTTGAAAACAACCTCAGTGTCCATCTTTAGGGGAATGAAAAAATAAGTTATGGAGGCATGCTACACAACTGAAAAAAAGAATGAGAGTTGAGCGAAAACAAAGTTGCAAACCAATACATATAGTGTATCATTTCTGCTTTACAAATTGCAAACAAAACCATAGCTTTTCTCTGTGTATGTGTGTGGGACAGGAAGAGAAAGCTAACACTTACTGAGACCTTCCAGGGTACCTTATTTTTCCAGTACTAACTCATTGACTTGTATTAACTCATTTACTCCCCAAACAGCCCAGGCAGGTAGGTACTATCATTATTCCCATTTAAAGAGGAGGAAACTGAGGCTCAGAGAGGTGAAGTAACTTTCCCAAGGACACACAGCCTGGGTGGTCCGACTGGCATTGGCACTCGGGCAGTCTGGCTCCGGAGTCTGCTCTTAGCCTGTCTGCTATTTCGAACACAGAAACAGCATTGCAAGGGTGAGCTCCAAAATGCCACAACTGGGTCCCTGGAGGGAGCTGATGGCCTGGGCATGCTGACCACAGGGCCTCTTGGCCTTACCATCAGTGTTTTATCATTATTTCTCAAGAACAAAATATCCATCTTAGTCACGTAAATAAAAAGTTATTTTTAAAAAGTCAGAGATGTCGAGAGGGTGGAATTTAAGCACCCTCGGTGTGCCCTGCCTGTTACTCTCCTCTGACTTGGCACTACGTGCTCTTATCCCCATTGCACAGAGGAGGTATAAGGAGGCCAGTGACTTGCCTGCAGTCTCACAGTTGTTGAGGGCACAGCTGGCCTGGGGCCAGGTACCCCCAGCCTCCAGCTGCCCCAGGGCAACTTAGCAGGGAGGCCGCCCAGATGCTGTCTGGGTCTGCCCGTGCCCCATCCAGCCTGTCTTTTCTCCCCAGGATCGAGCGATCCACAGACCAGGTCATCAAGCCCGTGAACCTGGAAGCACTTTCCAAGTGGACCGGCCACATCCCTGGGGACGTGGTGAGGGACATGGCCCACATCGCCCCCATGCTGGCTCGGCTTGGCTATGACCCTTACGCAAACCCGCCCAACTACGGCAACCCTGACCCGATCGTCATCAACAACACGCAGCGGGTGAGTGCACGTGCACATGTGGAGATGTGCTCTTGGGCCGTGGCGGGCCGGAAGCTCCGGCTCCCTGAGAAAGCATTTAGTCTCTTGTTTCCTAAGCAACTGGTTTGTTTCTATCTTACGGACATGGTGAATTGTAAGACTGCTTTTATTTCCGTTTTTGCCTGGGCCACAAGGAAGCTCAAGAACAACTGGCAGCTTGTCTCTCCCACCCTATAGCATCTAACAGCAGGCCCATTTGTGCACTAATTTCATCCTATTTCTCTACTCTTATTTACCCTTTCCTCCCTATTTCCCCGGCTGTTTCTTCCTTTCTTTGTAAAGCACTTCAAGTCTTTGTTGAGACTGGGCATAAAGAAATAAACTGTTGGTCCCTTATTGCCCCCCTAGGTTTAAGGTTGATTTCTTTTTTTTTTCTTCCCAAAGCCCCAGTACATAGTTGTATATCATAGTTGTAGATCCTTCTAGTTCGTCTGTGTAGGATGCCACTATAGCACGGCTTGATAAGTGGCACTAGGTCTGCGCCCAGGATCCGAACCGATGAACCCCAGGCCGCCAAAGCAGAGCACGTACACTTAACCACTAGGCCACGGGGCCAGCCTGTAAGGTTGATTTCTGAGACAAATGTGAGCTGAGGGCAGTTTAAATTACTTTTTAAGTTCTGCTTAGTTAAGGAGGTCAAGGGAAATGACTTTGACAGGATGTTTGTGAAGTGCTAAGTAGTCTAAGCCTGGATCAAAGAACAGGTAACGCGTCCATGCTCCCTCTTTCCACGTTGCCGTCACAGCTGCGGGTTTACGTTGGGGGCTGTGTTCTGACTTCCTCAGAGGCACGAAGTTAGTGAAAATATCTGGAAATGGGACCCAGGCCTGCAGAACAGCCCTCCTGGCCCTTCCTTCCATCATTGAGACTCAGAGGCTGAATTTAAGCTAAGCTCGGCATTTCTGAAGGCGTGCTGATTCTGGAAAGTAAGCAGTTCTGTTGAACCACAAAGGGAGAAAGCCATTCCTCTTTCCTGTAATTCTTAAGGACTCAAGGAGAAAGACTCCACTGGGGCTGAAACGCCTTGAACACCTCGCTGACACGCGCAAGCTTGCCTTTTAACAGAGAATTTACTCGCGCCGCCCTTGTAATTGCCGTGTAATTACATTAGTTCTTTCTCTGCCCCCGCCATCAGTGGATTTTGCACACATTTATTGATGGAAATACTAGAGATCCGACATAGATGCCCAGACTGCATTGACAGTGTGGGTCTTCACCACCTGGATGTGGTTTATTTTTATTGTGATTTTTATTATAAATATTGATTACTATTTATTTTTATTATTCAATAATAATTATTC